TTCTGGTGGCCAGTCTTAATTTGTTTAGCTAGAAACATTTGCCGAAAAAACCGGTGCTGGTAGCAAAAAAAACTGCGGGGAACCATGCAAAAAACGCATCTTCGCACAGGCAGCCCGTGCGTTGGCCAGTTATTTAATGCTGCAGAGTAGACAGTCGTCACTCGCTTCGCATCTTCCTGTTTTTTCTTTTGGAGTTTTTTTCCGACGCAGGAACGCTGAAATTGTCAGTGTGGAATGAAATAAAAGCAAAAAAAAGTAGGCAAACTTTAGTCGAAGAGGTGCGATTTATCTCATACTCAAAGATCAAAACGTGGCGCTGGTCCTATGGAATTTTTTTTTTGTGTTGAAACAATAGGATTGTGATTTTGCACAGAAGTTTATGGAAAAGGCAGAGGAAAATAACGGAAGCACTTAGCACCCAGTTTACTCAGCGTTTTGGTTGAAAGAAGTTATCAGAAAGAAGGGAAATTCCGAGGCGGAAGGAATGGAAATCACAAAAACATTTGCTGCTACCCTCCCAATCTACAGGACTTTCATGTGCCTCCAAATTGAAATGAAAATCTAAGAACAAGCAGGATTCAGAAAGCGGTTTCTACTGTCGATCACATCTTCAGAATAATACGTTGGCAAAAAGGTGTAGAAAGGAAGAATTCATTATGTTTTTGCTGTTCATCGATTTCAAAAAAGCCATCGACACGTGTAGCACAATGCTGCCTTTCACGTTCCCTTAGATGATGATGTCGAACCGGTTCAAATCCGAATTATCGAAGACTGCTTCATCGAGTCGTATACAGAAATCATTCTTTTTGACGAACAATTCATAAAAAAATAAAAATTGACAAAGGCGTGAAACAAAGCAAAATTTTTCTCAGAAGCAGTTGAAAATGCCTCACAAAAAATTGAAACAGGAGGATTTTGTTTCGACCTGTTGCTTCAAATGTTTGTTTTTGCAAATGGCATTGTGTTCAGCGGAGAAAAACCACTGCAGAACTTGCTGAGCTAAATGTTCATGCACGATTTAGGCCAAGGAATTTTGAGTCCGAATTCACAAAAGAAAACCAAATGGATGAAGGACGCCTACAGCTCTCGGTTCGAAATGAGACTTGAGGATCAGCCCCACTGGGCCCGTAGACAAATATGCCAGTTTGGGACAAGCTGTAAAGGTGAATTACAGTAATTGAGCATGGAACTAGCCAGAAGCGTCGACATTTCCGATTTTTCCAGCATTCATCTGGTCACCAGCGAAAAATTAACACAGCATGCACCACTTTTCAAGTAACTCTTTTCAAATCGACTGCATCCAATTCAGCGTACAGAAATATGGCATATCACGCATGCTGAGAAGGAATTAGCGATGATCTGATGAGCTATGGAATGGCGCATTGCATATCTCAGGTAGCAGTACATCTCCAGTGAAGTAACCGCGATTTCGGTTCGATGTAAGCGGTGTTTTCTTTGGCTGTACATGTCATGAAGAAAAACTAGGCTGCTCTTTTCTCAGCGATAGTCGACAAAACGGATCATAAAATTCATCCATGTAATTTTACAAGAAAGGCTGCTATTGCGGTGGAACGATCCAGTTGAACGCCTGCATGGCATTAATTTGTGTGATTGAGGCCCAAAATAAAAGGAAACAGTGTAGTTGCTGGCTTCATCAATGACAAGAAGAAGCACCACAATGTAACAGCTACTAATTAAACTATCGGAATATCATTTCCACAAAAAGTAACGCCTTTTATTTATAGTTCGATGAATTGCTGGACGAATTTGCGGCGAATAAATACAAGAATGAAAAGGCCGTTCTTGAAATCATGAATGAGGAAGGTCGCTCGAATTATTATGTAACATTTTTCAGGTTACTGTTTTTCACAGCTTGCACCCTTTTTTCTGCTTACAGATTTAGCCCTTAACGCTTAGATGGGGTGTTGTGCAACTTATATTGATGTTACAACTTGTGATAAATAAGGAAAAGTGTAGATTTCGGTGCCTTTAATTCTTATAGCATTTTTAGCCTTGTTCGAATTATTTTTTGCTTTCTGGCTTATCGCACGTATTTGATGATTACCTAGTTTTCTGTTTTCCGCTGCAGAAATGGCTTCTGGTATTGTTGCAGGGTGCTGGCAGCTGCTACCCTTCCTGTCTTGGTAACTCATTGCCTCACATACATTTTTGTATCGGAAGCAGAGGATGTTGCTGCTTAGCGCAGTTTCTGCACAGCTGAAGAGTTCTGATAGGAATGATAAAAAGAAGGGGGAATTGGAATTCATGCCTCATCGTACTAACGAATTAGAACAGATATAAGGAATTCGGCGTGCTTTTTGTTCTCTTCAGTCGGTTTTTGCAGTGGACAGCAAATATCAAGTGGAACTGGTTGCAATAAAAAATGCGACAGCTGAATCAACGGCCAGATGGGCTTTTGCATGTTAAAAGCAATGGATAACAATCGAAGACAAACAGCCTACACTTAAACTAAGCCAGATGTGACTGCACGCTGCCAACTCTGACGTGCACTACGGCGGCAGTTCAGGGACACGAGGAGATATTACGAGTCGCAACAAAATTTTCCAAAAACTGCTTTTCCCTTTTTTATGTTTAGTGTTCTAGGCTTATTACTTCTGGTCATTTGCGTGAAAATGCCGACGAATATGAAGGTTTTATTGATGGCGGCCGCACTGTGGTACAGTTCTGTCAAAGTGAGGTTGAACCAGTGTACAAAGACTGTGACCATTTAGCAATTATCGCACTCACCAAAGCTATAGGTTTTTTTTTATATTCATTTTTGCAGTCGAAGTGCTGTCTGTGTGGATGTTGGAGATATTATTATGAACGTAACCGCCAAAATGAATTTAGATTTTTTGATAGCTCTAGTTTAATGTTTATCTTAAACTTATCAATTTTTTTTTTTTGCTTAAACGCTTTTCTCTTAAATTTTCATCCATTCTGAAATTAAATAAATCTCAGTATTTCTTCGTGGGGGCAGTAATAGTGCATCATAAAACTAGCACAGATCCACGTCGTAATGGACATCGAATGAGGAAGTTGTTGAATTGCGTGCGAATTTCAGATATGGTCAAATAAATAATTTCATCCTTACAGGGGTCTCGATTCGTATCGAATATATGGATCGGACGACAGCTCCGGATCATGGATGGTTTTATGATTTTATTGTCGAAAAAAAGCCGCCAAGGCATTTCTTCTTGTATCGTCCGGGACATTATGATATCCTTTATAAAACGTAATTGTCGCTGGTTTTTTCGTGTCTGTTCGTGTTCATGTGATTATTACTTTTGCTTGTGAAATTAAAGTGAATCAATAAACCTTGGGAACTTAAGATAAAACGTATCTGTGGAAATCCTGTTTAGGGTGCCACGCACCAGGCTTGCCGGTGCGACTATGAATTGTACTAAATTTACTGCAGCCAATTCTTAACAGCATGAATGGTTTCTGTGGCGGTTTTACACCGGATCTCATGCTCTTTGTGTTTTTACATTTTCTTACATGCAGGGAAAAAAGGCGTCGGCTGGGATAGCAGTGTTGCGTCATGGGCCACGTGAACTTGCATTTTGCATGATTATCAGTTTTGCGTAAGAGGCGGTCGCCTTTCCGATGAGTCATGATTCATTGGAGAATGTAAATTTGACAGCGCACTAGATTTCGTAACATAAGGATCACGAAATTCGCAAAGCTCACTCGCTTTTGAGGCCCGGGTAAAAGAGTGTTTTCCACATCGTTGTGGGGGTAATTTAGTCTTCAAGCTGTCTTTAGAGCGCACGTGAATGTAGAATATCCTTGCAAAGTTTCACTTTCGCAGCGATAGCTACTTCACCACAAATATCCTTGAAGTGCCCTAAGTCGTGAGATAAGTGCAAATTGAAAATTGTTTAAGTGTATGATTTCCCAAATGATCGATAAAGACTTCAGCTATCGTTTTTCGGCTAGCTTTTGAACTGACACGGTGTTGACTGTAATGTCTGGCGTGATTGTGCAAGTGAAGTAGGCATGAGGGACGACTGAATCTAAAATCTTTACATCACACATGAACGAGGGGCATTAGTGTGAAATTTTAGCTTTCTAACTTTAGTAGTTCTCGAAATCATTTCCTGCTAGGAAACTTGCATATTTTTTCGGCGTCTTCACGTGAGAACGAGACTTCCTTGAGCAGCCCATTTCAGGTTATGGGGATGGCATGTGTGCTGGGAACACCGCTCGAAGATTTTAGCCCCCAGCTTTCTTAGTTGCAGAGTTGAAAGTGGGTGACAAAGTTATGTGCGTTTTTACTCACTATAACAGCACTAGAGGGGCTAGAATTTACGAATTTGATATTGAACAGTAGTTTGCTAAGGAATCGTGTCGTGTAGAGGCTGCGAGAGAATTCAGTTCGCGACTTTTTTTTTCAGTGGATGGGAATTCCCAAGGTTTGAGTCAAACCTCGCAGGGTAACTGGCTGGGGTTGTAAGTCCAGAACAAATAAAATCGAGTTTGAAGTACGTTCGGTTTGTGACTAACCGACCCAAAATTATCACTGCGGGATGCAGTTGTGTGTTTTGCTTTGTCACGTGATTGAATACTGAGTTCGCAACAGCTTTGTTCCGGTCTCCTTCTGAGTTTGCCGTTTTGGCAGTTAAGAACTTTGCGTATGGATTTCTCACTGCGTTAAAAAGTGAGAACGATTTTTACAGCCAATTTGTTGAATGTAAATCACCAAGCCTTTCACTTCTTTGGTTTCACTCATCAGGCTAAACCGAATTCGGGCTTTCTGTATCTAGGTCGGTTTACGTGGAGTTTCTTCGAACTTCATTTAATGCGATGTTGAGGTAACTGCATAATCTTTAGTTCCCGACCTGCATCGTTCTCCGATCTTCTTGTGTGTTTTGAATTGCTTGTTCCCGTTCGACTAACAAAGATTTTTAATGTCTAATACTTGAAAAAATTCGGTTTCAGTTTACATACTGGAATCAGTCAAGTATGATCACGTCATCGTCAGAGTCAAGTATGATTACGTCATCATCAGAGACCGGTCTTGCTCATCCAGTCCTGGACTCGGAAAAAGCGCTGTGGACGACTCGGAACCAGTAACTGAAGAATAGCTCGTTTCCTTCCAGGTGGCGCTTTCGCGTTCTCTGTCCTCCAGATCTTTCATTCGCTGTGAGATCCTCGAGCAGTTACTGAAATCCCTGGAGAAGTTAGCGTTTCTTGACCAAATTTGTGAAACTGGGTCAGCTCGATGACTGTGGATGCGCAAATCTCGTGGAATTTGTATTTTTAGCACGACTTACCAAATTTCCTTTTCCTTGGCGTAAATTTTTTCCAAGTACTGTAAGATGTTTAAAGCAGCTGCACAGCTACAGTTCTTCAAAAGTAGACACTTGAAGATGCCGATAAAACTGATTTGGGGAGGGGGGG